TCTCTCACTGGACCTGGAGCTGGTTATTTGGCTAGATTTCCTGCCTGGTGATCACACCATGAGAAAAATCATAGATAACAAGGACTTATAAAAAAAACTTTTTATTTATTTTTGATAGAGGGTTTTATTGTGTAGACCAGACTGGCCTTGAACTCATAGAGATCCACCTGCTTCTGCCCCCTGAGTGCTGGCATAAAGGGCATGTATCACCATGCATGGCAAAAAGGGACTTTTTGATGAGATTATGTATTTGGGGAAATGCTGTAACATAAAATAAATAAGAATTACTTGGAATAATACTTTAAAAAATGTATCACACCATGAAAATTTAAACTTTGTAAAAATATATAGGGAAGTAGAAATTAGACATCCTCTCACCTATGAGAGAGAATTGCTCCTGACATTTAAGTGACTATTTCCAAGCACGTTTTGGTATAAACATACGCATTTGTGTTTGACTGTATGTATGTGGTTCTACTTGCCAGTATTATACCAGCAAGATGTCTCTGTCAATAAATCTAGGTCTCAGTACTAGAGAACAAAACTGCACATAAGTATCTCATGTGTCACTGGACTCTTCCATCCTTCCATGGTAGCTCCTCACACATTGAGTGGTAGGTGTCTCTCCAGAAGCCTTCTGTGGACTTTCTGGTACTACAGATCAATGGCTTGCACCAGTCACAAGTCTGCCTAAGACCCTGTCAACTAAGAATGGCCTAGTACTATCAACTCAGAAAGCAATGGCTTCTTCTCTATGACCAACTGAATTACAACCTAAGCAAAACCCAGGATCTCTGAAGGAGACCTGAAGATGAAGTCTATGAATTTGCAGTACTACCAAACACCTACAGACCCGGCTGGTGATGCTTGGAGAATGCTAGTGGGTTGACTCATTATTTTGAAAACTGGCAAATTAGTAGAAAGAATGAGGAGCTCCTTCTGCTTTTCCTGTGTTGACTGGGAATCACTGAGGAAGGACATCCCTCTCTATGAAAGTAGTCCAGCTCGTAAGTCAACAAGAAATAATACAATGCTACCATTCCCAACATCTGCTGACTGCATGGACTGAGCATCATCAATTACCATGTCAGAGAAAGAAACCATCTTACTTCCATGCCACTGATGGAAGGGACCACTGCTGACTCAGAAGTCAGTTTTCCAGAAAAAAAAGAAAGAAAGAAAGAAAGAAAGAAAGAAAGAAAGAAAGAAAGAAAGAAAGAAAGAAAGAAAGAAAGAAAAGAGAAAAAGAAAGAAAGAACACTAAGCAAAATTAAATACTTTCAAGACTCTAAATCTACTTATTAATTTATGGTGAACATGAAGGGTGTGTACTCAGGACAAGTAACTTGACTTTTCCAATTAATAAGTTGCATAAAACAGAAGAGGCAGGAGAAGGAACTTATGGATTAAAAGGAAGAAGTAAGGATTCTGACTCAATCACTGTGCCTGACTTCATTTGAATCCCAAGTCAAGCTGCCAGGGGACTGTGGTACCCTTTAAGTACTTGAGGACTTAGGCTCTGAAAGAGTGTTGCATGGCCAAGGAACTAGTGGTAGTTTTTGCGGGTGTGGTATATTTGATTAGAATTTTTAAGATGCTTTATCTTTTAGAAATAGTCTCTGAAACATTGGTAGATGAATAAGATGCTTCATACAAGCATGGTGGTGGTGAAGAGAAAGTATTAATCAAGCAAGGTGGGTCACAGAGTACTGATGGCTGAATGAGTCAGATTTTTACTTTCCTTTCAATTATTCTATGCTCACATATTCTTCCTTAATTTTAAAATTTGCAGCTTTTAATCTGCCATGCTTTAACTTACCCAAACAGTGGGCTATAGAATATATAGGCTATTTCCCGAGTACTGTTATGTGAATGGCAGTGTCCTTTCCTATTCATATGGTAGAACCTGGTATCCAGGGTGGTGACATTACCGTGGGCCTTTAGGTCACAGGAGAAGGGAGGAGACTCCAGGGACCTCCCTCACCTATTTAGCTACTTCAGGAGAGTGCTATCCTTTCCACAGTGTGGGAACAAACAACAAGGTGCTGTCGACCAAGCAGAAAGCAAGCTTTTAGCAGACACCAGGTCTCCCCATGGCTTTACCTTGGGCCTCCTGGCTCCCAGAAAGGTGACCAATACATTTCTGTTTATAAATGACCCACACTACGGTATTTGGTGAGGGCAGCCTGAATGGACAGACACCATGTTCTCCAATTACAAACAACGCTACTGTGACCAGCCTTCTACATGTTTCATACTCAATTCCTAACAGTAAGATTGTCAGGGGGCAAAATGTCTTCCAGAAAAGTCTTCCTCTAACACACTGGGCTTTCAGTTACATTTTTAAAATATTTAAGTAATCCTAAGTTTGTTTGTTTGGTTGGCTGGTTTTTTTCTACCCTTCTATTAGGGGTGTGGATTAAATTTAGAATAGACTACTTCCTAAGGATAAGGGCCTGCCTCTTCACTTTGCCTTGCCCTGGTTATATATTGTCTTTCTAACTGGACATCACCAAACTCTATCAGTACTTTTGAAAGCTTTTCAGTTCGTTTCCTCAAGGGTCAAAGTACAGTTAGGTCAGACCCAAAAGTGGGACAATTCAGGCAGTGTTTGCCCAGGGGATCTAGGGAAGCCCAGCCTTGCTGGTCTGCTCTTGTCTGAAGTCTCTAGAAGTACATATGAAGCAAAGCGTGCAAACGATCATTGTTTCAATGGAGGGCTTGATCCAGGCTGTGATGTTAAGCTGGTGTAAATTGGGCTACAACATTGTAATATAAACATCTATAATACTCAGAACCAAGACCTGCTTGCCTTACAACCTGCTCTGCTCATGACTACCCTAGTACCCTGTTCTTACAATACTGGGAAAGGCCACGTTAGAGCACACCACTGACCACAAGTTTGTGCAAAATGCAAAGAGCATTTGCTCCAGTGACTGAGGCTATTCAACTGTCTTCTGGGCATCTTGCTGTTTCAGGTACAAGGTAGAAAAGCTGAAGAAGAAATTAAAATGTCACTTTCTGGGAGGGGTCTGGATGTTTTCTTTTCCCTCAAATGTAGGCAGAGTTTTTCTGTGTCCCAGCAGCTGCTCCCAAATAACCAGACTAAAACTTATTATTAATTATAAATGATTGGCTGATAGCTCAGGCTTGTTACTAGCTAATTCTTACATTTTAAATTAACCCCTATTTCTTATCTACACTCTGCCATGTGGCAGTACCTTCAACATGGCATGTTCATCTTGTTTCTCTCTGCATCGCCTGAGACTTCGGAGATTCTGCCCTCCTTCCTCCCAATGTCCTCTCTGCCCCAGAAATCCTGCCTAGCCATTGTCCAATCAGCTTTTTATTAATAGTGAGAGCAACTCGTCATTATAGTGTACAAAAGATTATTCCACAGCATTCAAGCCTTACATAGAGCAGTCAAAAAGGTACCAACTTCCAGAGCCTACCGCTAGACAGCTCTCCTGTGAATGGATAACATGCTACCCCAGCTCTGTGACAACTCCACCGTCTAGGGTAGCCATCCACAAATGCCTTTGAATTTCACTTATCAAAAACTGGAAAGGAAGCTGGGCAGTGGTGGTGCATGCCTTTAATCCCAGCTCTTGGGAGGCAGAGGCAGGCCAATCTCTGAGTTTGAGGCCAGCTTGGAGAAGGAAAAGAAAGGAACAATTTGTGATGTTGCCTACAGTCCTAGCGCTTGGGGGTTCAGGTTTTGGTATCAGATGTTCAAGGTTAGTCTTAGCTACTTTGTCTCAAAAAGACTTTCTGAAAAGGAGCTGTGTGTATAATTGAATCACCTAAAACATCTGTACCAATTTCAGTTCTCACATTCCATCACTGTATTACATTTCAGCATTAATTATGTGAGCAAGCACCAACTTTATTCCTGTATTTCTTAGATATACTCTTAGGCTGTATATTATTGAGTGAATGTAGCCATTTACTAAAGGTTTCTTTGATCAAAAATGACTATTGAGTCAGCCGTGGTGGCGCATGCCTTTAGTCCCAGCACTAGGGAGGCAGAGGCAGGTGGATCTCCGTGAGTCCCAGGACAGCCTGGTCTACAAAATGAGCTCCAAGACAGCTAGAGGTTGTTACACAGAAAAACCCTATCTTGAAAAAAACAAACAACAAAAGACTATTGAGTGCTATTACTTTAAATAATCAATCAAAACTTTCCTATTTCTTTGACCTGTTTATGTAGAATAACTCTTACCATTGTATCATATTTATACCACTGAAATAATCCCGATATTCATCGTGGTATTTATTGTTGGATCTTATTTGTTGATATTTTATTTAGGATTTTAAAAAATATATGTCATCTTTGTCCGGCTTGGTACCAGCAGCATGTTGTGTGAAATAGTAAACAGACCAATGCTCCATCTTAAAGGCAATGATTTGGAGCCCATAAAAATATATGACACGTATTTCGAATTTTTTTCCGACCTTCCACATCTAGTCTTGATTCCATTTTCTAAAATTATCTTGAGCCCATTTTCTCCTCTCTTTAAGCCCGGTCCACTATTGGACTAAATTCAGGGACTGCCGGTGTTCTGCCTAAACTGAGCTTTTAGCCTCCAGCCAGTAAACTTGCTCAAGACCAAGAATCATGCGGACCTCTTCCCAAGAGCCCTTTGTGGATCCTGTGACCCAGGTTGCAGTTACACTGCTAAGGCCTTCATCATTTGACCCACTTTTCTGAGTCATCTGGAAAGAAACCACATGGTCAAGGAGTGAAGAGATGGCCTTGAGTCCTGGCTTTACCTCTAATTGGATGGCCGGAAGCAAGTCACCTAAATCTCTGCTGTCTCCCCTGTAAGTGGCCTGAGATCACGTACTATGAAAAGCAGAGGCCAAGAAAATAAGGAAGTACATTCCTTTAAAATTTCCACTGAAAATCATATATATGTATATATTTATAGGGCACAGTTTTTTGATATGTGTATACACTATGTGGTGGCAAAATCAAGCAGGGGGAGGAGGGAGGGAGGTTATGGAGTTCGAGCCTCACTTGGGCATCTAGGGAGACCCTGTTCCGCAATTATCTATTCCCTTAGCAATTTTTGGTGTGCACTGTTAATAACTGTAGCCGCCCGGTAAAGTACAGTGGCTTTCTTGAGCTTGCTCCTCCTAACTGAAATCTGATCACTAGCTCCCGTGTCCCTTTTCCCTAGTCCCAGTAACCACCGCTCTACTGTGCCGGTGAGACTTTTTAAAAGCTCCTTAAATGAGATCCGTAAGTATCTGCCCGGTGCCTACTCTGCTCAACATCCTCCAGGTTCGTTCCACATCGTCCCAAGTGACAGAATTTCCTTCATTTTTTAAAAACGGGACCGATCTCTGTGCCTTCCAACACCACACAATGAGGTCGGCCTCCTCCGGGATGGAGTGGGTAAGCCTGGACTCGCACCCGCCGGCTCTTAGTTTCGCAGCAGGCAGAAAAACAAAAAACAAAACAAAAACGAGCGCCTTTAAACCTGGAGAGGCATAGGTCGCCCGAAATGTGGGCGCTAAGACAGAATGAGGGGTGCAGCACAGGGGTCCCCACCGAGGCTGGGCTGCAGGCAGGGTCGCGGGCGCGGGCGGAGGAGGGGGGGGAGGAGGAGGAGGAGGGGCGCCGCGCGCAGCCCCCTCCCCTCTCCTGCTACCCCCCTCCCCTCCCCGCATTCCCCGGGCCCTCTCCTCCCCTCCCCTCGTTTCTCTTCCCACTCCGCGGCCCCCTCCTCCCCGCACGGCTGAACTCGAGCGCTGCCCGCCGAGCCGGGGCCGCTTCAAGGGGGGGAGGCGCCAAGTGTCGGCTGTTCCCGGGCCCCGGCCGAGCAGTCCCCGCTGCCGGCGGCGGAGCGGACGCGAAACCCGGAGGTAAGCGTGAGTGTGGGCGGCGGGCGCGGGCGGGTCCCGGGGAACCCAGGCCAGGCCGGGCGGAGGCCTCACCCTGCGCCGGCCCGGCTGCGCAGCCGCTGCGGGGGTGCTGGGCGCGCCTCCATTCCCACCCCGGGCCGCAGGCCGAGGGGGGCAGAGGGGGCCGCCCCGGCGCGCACGCGCGAGCCCGTGGGCGAGGTCGGCGGCGCGGTTCTGGGTTCACCTCCCTTTCCCGGGCCCTGGGGCCGCGCCGCCTTGCGCATGCGCGCAGGCCTGGACTAGGGTCCACCTTTTGGCGTCGCCCCAAGGCCACGAGGCTAGGATTCCGGGTTCCCGCTCGCGGTTGGGGAGAGGCGGAGGGGTCCCCCAGCTACCGGTGCGCGAGCTAGCCGTGCTCTTTCAAGGTCTTCCCGCCCGGGACCGCCTCGCGCGGCTCACTTTTGCAGGCCTTGGGTCGCCAGGTGGAGGGATGGCGGGGAAGGCCTGGCTCGGCATCCAGAGCCGCCCCAAGATTCTCGGCCTGCCACTTGGGCCCTACTTCGGCCGGAAGCGGAGGGGTTTAGCGGTGGGAAACTTGCCCAGTGCCCCCTCCTTGGCGGAGATGGGACTTCCGCCCGAGTTGAAGACAGGTTTAGAGCCGACCTTTTGCCGTTCGTTGTTCTTTACAAGGTAAAGATCGAACCCGGACTGTTAACAAAGGACACAAAAGTCGAGATGCTTTCTAGCGCACCCGGGCGGCTGCCCTGGCTGCCCGAAACTAGGCTTCGGTCACATGAGGCCGCTTGGCGAGAGAGCAGTAAAAAACGGATTTTCGTTGGGAAGGTCCTAACTTGAAATAGTGGGCAAGTGGGCAGGGCCAGGTGTGGTCCGGTGTGTCTCGGACCCATCCTGTCTCGGCTCCAGTCACCATTAAAGCCTTATAAAGCTGGAGGGAGAGGCACACGGTGCCTCCCTTTAGAGTAGCTTCCATCCTGCCAGAACCGTTACTTGGTGACTTAATCCCTGCCATAGCCAAATAAAAGTGATCGAGGAGTTCACCAACAGCCCTGCGGCGGAACTTAGCTCTTTTGCCCCGCGATAGTCCACTGTTTACCAGTCGTTGGGTTCCTCAGTTTCTGCACCTTCCCAGTGAAGTCTGCCACCTTCCCGGGCAATGGCAGGAAGTGAAGTCAGTTTCAAGAGGCCAGGGGCTACTATGGAGAATGTCTAACAATGCCATTACTTCTGTGCCTTGTAGTCTTGTGCGATGTTCTGGCACAGACATTTGGTAGCTGGAATAGAGTAACTGCTCGGAGACTCTGAATGCATTGGGTGCATGCATTGTTTCCTGCTCCATACACACTACCAAGTGGCAGAGCCACCAGAGTGACACTTATCTTAAGCACGACACCACTCTCACCGTACCGGCCTTGTTGCTGTGTGGGGGCTTCCTGAGTGGACCCCACCATTCCAGAGCGTGTGCATTTGTTCCACGGTCGCATGGCAGTCAGTGGACTTGAACATCTTGTGACGGTTGCATCACTTCAGCGAGAGAACTTTCCCATCTAAAATGGCCACTGCTCTGATTCCCCAAGCTCTTATCCTACCCTTGGCCTTGTAGCCCCTGATGGCATCTGATGATATACACTTCCGTGGTTCTCTTGTGTCTGCCCCACAGTCATTACCTACAAGGTATTCGTTAACTATATGAAATCTAACTATATTGAAATATATATATATATAACTATATTGAAATCTAACTTACTCTAGAGAGACTTTTTGCAGGACTTGGACTCGTGGAACACTTCTTTATTGCTATCCTAGTGTTTGGAGTTTAGCAGTTAATAAAAAGATCACTTTTCTCCGGTGCCTACATTCTTGTGAAAGTTGATCAACAATCAACATCTAATACATTTGCCAGAAAGTGTTAAATGCTCTAAAAAGTGGAATACGGATTGAGAGTGCAGAGGTGGGTTGTGATTTTTAACCACCTGGTGACTATGGAAGGTGATATTTATGGTGGAATGAAAAGTCCTTTTAGGAGGAAGTAAGTACTTCCATCCTCTGTCCTGAGGCCTGTAGCACTGCTGCTATGACAACAGATGTCACTGTCCTTTGTAGTGTGTAGATAAGAGGTGAAAGGATCAGGATTTTTTGGCTTAACTCACCATAGCTAGTGAAGAGACCAGAATCTTTCTCATTGAAGAGACTAACCAGATAACCACTATGGATATGATCGGAAAAACTATAGAGCCAACTTTCCATATCCTTACATTCTGTAACCACAGATTTAGCAAGCCTGGAATTGGAAAATATTAAGAAAGAACCTTTAGTGAACATATAGAATTTTGAGGGGTCATAATTAACTAAATAAGAAAGGATATCAATTTAAAATTTTTTTTTTCCTTTAAGACATGATTTCACTCTGTACTTTACTATCTCAGACTGTCCTGAAACAACTTACTAGGATCCTCCTGCTTCAGCTTCTCCAGTACTGAGGTTACAGGCACCAAGCCTGGAGGCATAGCAACCATCCACACAGCACTTGCATCGGGTGTTACTTCTGTGTCTGGTTGCAGATACATAGGAAGGAGGGTGTGCCCTGGCTGTGTGCACACTACAGTTTCTGTAGGTGACTTGAATATTCACAGAGTATGGTATTGATGGAGTCTGGGTCCTGCAACGGTCCCACTGTGCTCTGGTTTATTGTACCATGCAATTGCTTCTTAATGTCCCCTGACATTAAGTCATGGGGACGACTAGTGGGATGTTATGTCATGATATTCAGTGATCTCTATTAGAGGTTTTGTATGAGCCAGACAAATCTAAGCAGGCTTTGGCTCTTGACTTTAGAGGACTTGGAGAAAGACACTGATAGAGAGGAACTATTTTAGGAAAGTGGTTCCTCTGAGGTCGTTCATTGAAGTGAAGTAGATTACAGACACTCTATGTTCAAGCATTAAGAGACGATTGCTCTAGAGGTATAGCTGTAGGGAGCTCTATTAATTTACTTTATGCACAGGAGATGGTCATATTTAATTTCAGTTTTAACAGATCTGAAATAGAATTAAAATGCTTACTAGATACTACTATTTTCAAGATTTATTTGGCATTACTACCGTCTAAAATTGTCCAGGAAAGGGGGGATGCAGACAGAATTATCAGGGTGGCAGAGGCACTGAGACCTTCTGTTCACACTGAGAACAAGTGAGTCCATGTGGGAATGCCCCCTTAAGCAGATCAGTTGCCCCTCTTAGCCCTCTAGCTTTCCTTATCTGGAAGGAACACTGTGTCTCTTTCATGTGGTGACCTCATCCTAACACTTTGAATTGAAATAATAGATCATTATACATCCATCTGACCCTGAAGTTTGTGTTTCTAATATCTTCAGCTTTGCTAATCCAACCTGAGTTAATGTGCATTGTGTGCCCCCCCCATGCATTTTGAGCTAACAAGTGCTCGTGGATGATAGCTAAACTGCAGTGTTTTCTATATTATGCCAAATGTACACACAAGGATTCCCAAGAGGAAACAAGTGGAGGTCAAAGGGTCTACTGTGTTCATGGGATTCATGTTGTAGAGCCAGGGTTTTTAATAGGGTAATAGTTACCACATCTGTTAATATCTATTTAAGCATTGGATATATAAAAAAAATAAATCTTAAATGGACTTACAGATGGCTCTCTGTCTGCTCAGGTCATTCACGTAGCAACATAAAATGTATTTGTAGTTTATGTTGACTATTGCCCACTTGGAGATGACATTTTGTTATCAGTGTCATCAGTGTTGGCCTTCTCAGTAATGTGAAGACGACTGCCAGCATTGCTGTGGGCTGATTTACCCCAAACCTCACTGTGAGATTTGGAAACCTTTTTGAAAACAAATAATTGGAACAACAACAGCTATGCCCACACAGTCAGTGTTCCGCCTTCTGTAAGCATCGGGCAGCACTGTTTCCTTGGGGGTGCGCGGACTTTCTCACCCCTTGTGGTAGAGTTCTGTCCCCCTGTTTAGAAGCACCCCAGAGCAACCAGCAGCTGGTTAGATGTCCCACTGTCACTGTCTGTGACTGCCAGCATCTCAGTCAAGAAGAGCTGAATTATAACCAGTGCAAGTGACAGCTGAGGCCGTGCTTGATTACTTTATAGACTTACATTGCCTGTAACTCAAGGATGGCACTAATAAAAGACATGAATGATACTTTTTAATTACTCAGCAAACATGCTTGGGGACCCCCATGGGC